ACGCTCCAAGACGGCGGTTTTCTGGGCGTCCCAAGCCGCCTGGGAGGCCCCCAAATCGCCTCACAACCATCCGAAAGGGCTTCCAGGCAGTCCAAGAGAGCTCCAAAATGGCACAACAGGGTCCAAGATGGCCCTAAAAGAGCCCCATGGCGGCCCAAGATGGCCCCAAGACACCCTCCGAAGCATTCCAAATCGAGACCAGGGCGTTCAGGGAGACCGCGGTTAGAGGCAGGTTGGCCTTCGGAAGCCCCAGAGGCCCCCAGAACACGCTTAGTAGGCCTCCAGAAGGCTTTCAGATAGCCTGAGAACTGTGGTGAGGCCCCCAGAGGCTCTCCACGGAGGAGCCTCCGCCAAAAGAGCTGAGGAGGATGGGGATAATGCTCAGGGTATGGCGAGAATGAGGAAAAATTAACATGGAGGAAGGATGACGAACAATATTATTATAACGGCGATGACAGAAAGACAGCAAGGAGTTATCGCTAAATTGTTGGCTTGACCTTCCTGCCATTTCCACAAGCATACCAAATTTCAATGACCAAGGTGCATGGCGCGAAGCGCCACTGCAGTCTTATATTCACATATTGTTATTATCTGGACCCCCCTGCCCCCACCCCCACCCCTAAACCGGGCCCCCCCCCAGGGACGCCCCGGACGTCTCGGCGGCCCCCTGGACGCCCTTGGAAAAGGTCCGCTGGCCCTTCCGGGCCTCCCAGGGCGCCTTGCGAGCAGACTCAAGGCGATCAGAGGGGTCATCGGGAAAGCGCAAGAGAGACCCAAGACAGCACAAGAGCGCTTCAAGAGGAACCTCGATGGTCTGAAGACGGCCCAAGAGGTCCCCAAGACGCCCCAAGAGGCCGTTAAGAGAGCCCCGAAGAAGCAAACATCGCTTCATTCCCTAAGGAAAATCTACATTGTTAGCATATCTGCTTTTCGGGTCGTCGCAGCATCCAAGACGGCCCGATGGGCCCTCGGTATCGCCCCAAGACGACCCAAGAGGCCCCCCAGAGGGTTTGAAGACGGCTCAAGGGGGCCCCAAGACTGTCCCAGAGAGCCCCGAGACTGCCCACAAGAAACCCGAGATGCCCCCAGAAGGCTCCCAAGAGAGACCCACGAAAGCGATGGGAAACCCCCAAGAAGGCCACTGGAGGTCCCCAAGAGGGCCCTAGATGGTTTCAGAAGACCTCTGTAGGGCCCCAGCTCCCCAAGACGGCCCTAGAAGGCCCCAGGACGGCCGAAGAGGGCCCCAGGACAGTTCAAAAGAGCCCCAAAAACGCCCAGACGGCGTTCTCTTGCGATGTACATCGGGTTGACCCGACGATCTTGGTTCCACGCTTGAGGCTCGAGGTTTAAGTTACTCGATCGAAAGAGACAGGCCATGGATCTAGATGCGATGTTCGACGATCGAAGATTTCTTGAGTGCCTGGAGCCCTCCAGGCATTCAGGAAGCGACCAATAATCGATCTGTTCGGAGCTACTGCGGCTCCTTCGACGTCTCATGGGAGCGCTCATAACTTCCACAAAGAACCGTCGCGCGTGAAAATCTCATCATTCCTTCCCCACTCCTGCGCACAAGCGTGCAAGCGCATCGGGCGATCGCGGTGTCAGAAGGCACCAGGGAGATAACAGAAATGAGCCGGTCGCCCGTCCAGGCCTCGAGGTCCCCTTTATTGAAGCAAACGATGATGTATTGTTTTGCCGGGGAGGGTCCATAACAAGGCGCATTGGTGCGAAGCGCCAACGCAGTCTTGTATATGTTCTGTTTATATCATATATGTATATAAAATACAGCCATACGTACGTATGTATGGTGGTGTACATATGTACACTTACGTCTATATATATATATATATACATATACATATATGTGTGTGTACGTATGTATACATATATGTATATCTTCCTCTTCCTAATTTTTTATAAGCCCGGGCGGGGGAAAACCCGTCCCCCCCCCCCCTAAAACCGGACCCCCGGGATCTGGAGCTTTGGGACCCTCCGGACGGGCCTCGAAGCGGTCTTCTGGGCCTCGCAGGGCGTTTTGCAAAGCCTTCGCAGCACACCCAGGGCGATCAGGGGGGTCACCGGAGACGTCCCAGAGACCCCCAAGACAGCACAAGAGCGCTCCAAGAAGCCGTCATACCCCGAAAGATCGCTCCAAAACGTACCAAGAGGCCTCCAAGAGCACCCCCAAGAAGGCCCCGAGAGGGAACAATCACTGATTCTACTTAGGTTTTTGGTGCATTTGCGGTTATCCTCTTTTCGGCTTCCCGACGCTCCAAGACGGCGGTCTCCCAGGCGTCCGAAGCCGCCTGGAAGGCTCCCAAATCGCCCCGCAACCACCCGAAAGCGCTTCCAGGCAGTCCAAGGGATCCCCAAAACGGCACAACAGGAGTCCAAAATGCCCTAAGAGAGCACCATGACGGCCCAAGATGGCCCCAAGACACCCTCCGAAGCATTCCAAATCGTGACTGGGGCGTTCAGGGAGACCGCGGTTAGAGGCAGGTTGGCCTTCGGAAGCCCCAGAGGCCCCCAGAACACACCCAGGAGGCCTCCAGAAGGTTAAAAAAACTTGAGAACTTTGGTGAGTCCCCCAGAGGCCCTCCAAGGAGGAGCCTCCGCCAAAAGAGCTGAGGAGGATGGGGAAAATGCCCAGGGTATGGCGAGAATGAAGAAACATAAGCATGAAGGAAGGATAACGAACAACATTGTTATCACGGCGATGCCAGAAAAGGCAGCAAGGAGTTATCGCTAAATTGTAGGCTTGACCTTCCTGCCATTTTCGCTTGCATACCAAACTTCAAGGACCAAGGTGCATGGCGCGAAGCGCCACTGCAGTCTTGTATATATATATATATGTATATGTATATACATATATATAATTATGTCGCCGCCCTGCGACATCGCGCAGAAGAGCAAGTCGAGACACGATTTGACAGGGATACTGATGTAGGGTGAGGCGCAGGCAACAGCACTGGCAGGCAGGCGGCGTACCTCGACCACCTGTCGCTGCCGTGTCAATTCCCAGCAGACATTCAGCTCAGCTCAAGCCTTACTTCGGAGTGGTGAATAACTGCGGATTGTCCTCCTCCTCTTCTCCTACCTGGCACCCGGGACCACAAGGCAGGTCTGAGTTCAGCGAAGCACCCCATGAAAAGTAACCATCCATATGTTAGACAGCGTGGACCCCCCAACAGCAAACTACGTTTTGCAATCCACGCGGGGCAATATGTGTGATGCCACGTACGTGGTGCAGTTTATGCGGTGCACCCCGCGCGGTGCAACCCATGTGTGGTGCTACCTGCGCTGTGCAATCTAGGTGGTTGTGCAAGTGATACGCTTGTGCAACATGCGTTCTGCGATTTGTCGAAAGTGCAATATGTTGTTGTGCACTGTAGGTTTTGCAGTATACATGTTGTTGCTTAAGTTGCGAACCCTGAAAATGCGCCCCTCGGGCGCGATTTCACTCGCGGAGTCTACGTGGTGCAACCTACAAGCGGTGACGGGCGATGACACAGCGGCGACGAGGCGACGACGGGGCGGCGACGACAGGCACGGAGCCGCCAGACCGAAGACGCGGCCCAGTTCCTCAGAGCAGAAATAAGAACCACTGAGTGCAAGGACTGCCTGGGAAATAACAACAAAACCAAAACGCTCCGAAATGATCCAGACGGTCCCGCTGTTATTTTTGTGATACCGGAACGAGGAGAGAAAGGAGGAGGGGCAGGAGAAAGGGAAGCGGGGGTGGCGGGGAGAGTGGCAGGGAAGCCGCGAGGGGCGCGCCCGCCGGGCCATGGCGTCGCTGGCGCAAGACCCCGACATGCTGAGGGTGGCGGACCTCCTAGAGAGGCCCGGGCGCGGTGTCACATCGCGCGCTCTTCCCGATGTGGTTGATGTTGGGGAGGCTGAGGCTGAGGCTGATGGTGATGATGGTGATGGTGATGGTGATGGTGATGGTGGTGGTGGGCGATCGTGGTGGTGGTGGTGACGATGACGATGGACGATCACGGTTGACGGTGAACGTGATTGTGACCGTGACCGTGATGGTGATGGCAGTGGTGATAATAGTGATTGTGATGGTGGTGATGGTGATGGTTATGGTTATAATGATGGTGATGTTGATTGGGATGGTGATGGTCATGGTGTTGTTGACGAAGATGATGACGACGACAAGGGTGATGATGATGGTGATGATGGTGATGGTGTTGTGACGGTGGTGGTTGTGATGACCATGGCGATGATGGTGATAGCGAATCGTGATCGTGATGGTGATGTTGATATTTTGGCCATGATTGGCACGATGATGATGATGATGATGATGATGATGATGATGATGATGATGATGATGATGATGATTTTTGTGCTTTTCCCGCGTTCGCCCGGGCGTCCCAGGCCAGCTCCAGCTTTTTGCCTCGCCATCAGCGGTGGCCGTCGAAAGTAAGACGGTGCTGCTCCCCAGCGCCTAGGGTTAGGAAGCGATTCTTGTGAGGCTTTCGTCAGAACGACTGAGGGCTATGAAGCCGGATGAAGCCAGAGTGTGCCAGACTCGGTTGGTTTTTCATCGTGGATTTACCAGCGCCGATGCTGAATTTAAATTTTTTGGAGTTGCATCCTAAACCACGCGGGAGGAGGAGATGCGGCCAGCCCGGGCCAACACTCCATCCGTAATCTGTATCCGTGGCCTCGCGGACCGGGCCCCTGGGCCGCGACCCCGCGGATACGGGGCGTTTTTTCGCGGACGCCCCGCGCGGAACTTCTCCGTGCGATCATTTATCCGCAGGATCGTGCTCCGGAATCCAGACCGCGAGGGCGCGGATCCGGATATGTTCGCCGCTCGTGACAGTTCGCCTTCCTCGTCCCCTGCAGTCCCTGTGCGTGCTTCCTCTTAGCACCCCGACGGTTTCTTGTTTCTGTCACGCCGTATTCTGTCGAGTTTCCAACGAGGCTCGCCACGAGACGCCTACTTGTTCGGACTTGTGGGCGCACTGTTCGAACCAAGGAAGGAAAAACGGCGGCAGGTCCGCGGGCGAAAAGCAAACGGAAGTGAATAAAAGCGAGGCGTCAACCTTTTTGGTTGCAGGTGTTTCGAAGCTGGCCAGATGGAGCCGGAGTAAAAAAAGGGCCCTGGATCACACCATATCGCCGATACGAAGGAGGGGGGGGAGGAGGAGAGAGGAGGAGGAGAGAGGAGGAGGAGAGAGGAGGAAAATGAGGAGGAAAGTGAGGAGGAAAGTGAGGAGGACGAGGGGAGACGAGGAGGAGGAGGAGGAAGAGGAGGAGGAGAGGATCGAAGACAGAAGAGAGGAGGAGGAAAAAGATGAGGACGAGGGGGGAGGAGGGGAACGATGAGAGAGGAGAGAGAAGAGAGAGGAGAGGGAGCAGGAGGAGAGAGGAGGAAAAAGGACGAGGAAGAGGAGGAGGATACAGGACAACTAGAGGATGAGGAGGACGAGGAGGACCAGGGGCGGCGACCGCCCCCTCCTGGAGAGGCGGCAGCGGCTGGAGCGCGAGGGGGCCCTCCTCACCAGCGGTTTGGCCGAGCTGCGGCGCCGGCGCGACCTGGCGCGCGAGGAGCTCCAGGGCGAGCTGGAGGCTCGGGAAGAGATCGAGGAGGATCGAGGATCGAGGATCGAGGATCGTAGACCGAGGAAGATGAGGAGAAGGAGGAGGAGGAGGCAGGAGCAGGAGCAGGAGGAGGAGGATCGCGGAGTAGGGGGAGGATCGAGCATCGGGGATCGAGGAGGAGTAGGAGGGGGTGGAGGAGCGAGGAGGAGCACCGGGGATCGGCCCCGCTGGCGCCAAGCCTCCTCTGGCGCGCGAGGAGCTCCAGGGCGAGCTAGAGGCTCGGAGGAGGGCCAGTCGAGACAACGGCGGCCCTCCCTGGCGTTCTGCGTTCTCCCTCCCCTCCTCCTCCTCCTCCTCCTCCTCCTCCTCCTCCTCCTCCTCCTCCTCCTTATCCCCCCTCTTCTTCCTCTTCCTCATCCTCCTCCTCTTTCCTCCTCCTCATTCACCTCCACATCCTCGTCGTTTTCTCGGCCTTCACGCGCAGCGCGTCTGAAGACCCTGCGACGGCACCAGTGCAATCTGGACGAGGCCACAGGCCTGCCGGGCACGCGAGGCTGACCACGTCCTTGGCGTCGCATGTTTGTTCACGCAAGGCGTTCTCGCACGGATTCGGGTCATGGGACACTGGCGGACCAATCCGTCTCGAGAAATGACACAAGAAAGAAGATGGGGTCCGGGGCTCTGGTCGTCGTTTCCCACGGTGTTGTTCTTGTCGCGACGTTGCATCTCAGGGCTCCCTGGCGTTGTTCGCCCTTCCGGCCGAAGTTGGGGGGAGGAGGAGGCACTGGTGTAAACAGCAGACGAGGGCTGTCCATGGCTGTCCCATCAGCGGTGCCGCTGGGCAGATTCACGAGTCGTCTGGCTGGTGGCCGAGGCGCCTCTCTGGGTCTCGCCAGAGGCTTCTCGTCGGCACGAGTGGATCCGCCTCGACAAACAGGGCCAGGATGGACCCTTGGAGGGATCTGGGGACCGACTGTGAGCGAATGTGGCGGTGCAATCGCGAGGGCTGCAGACGCGAGGAGCGTGGAGGCTGTGCACCTTTGCACGCGCCCTCCACGCCAGGGGTGGAGAGAGGGGGAGGGGACAAACCAGGTGCGCTCGCGTCATATCTGACGTCCTTCTCCTCTCTCCCATCCCCTACCATGTCGTAGATCTCCTCTCTATTCGCACAGTCGGATGTCGAGCAGGGCAGTGATCGCGAGAGGGTACGAGATGCATGGTCGAGCACGGCATGGCATGGTGTAGAAGAGCACGGCAGAGTGTAGTATGCCATAGCATGGCGTGGCATTGCGCAGTAAAGCATTGCATCACAAAGCATTGCAACGCAAAGCATGGCATCGCACAGCGGCGCAGAACACAACTTCGCACAGCATGTCATGACATGGCGCCAGGTTCTTTGGAGGGTAAGTGGATCGTCTTCGGGAGGTCTGGGCCGGTCTGGAGTCGTGGCTCCATGTCCAGCTCCTTGGGCTCCCCGGACAGTTCCACACAAGGCTGGGCTGATGGAGAGCACCCGCTGGCTCTGCTTTCAACATCGCCTTCTCAAAGCAGAAACGGGGCTCCCGCTTAATACTTCCTGAGAATACGACGAATCGACGAATCCAAAGATCGTCGACGTCTTCCTGAAAACGACGACTGGCCGTTGTCGACGTCTTTTGCGGCCCAGGAAGTCAACGAATCGACACCGAATGTGTAACCACTTCCGATGTTTTCTTTCGTGGGGGCATTTTCTAGATTTGGGGGCCTATTTGGAAGGAAGGCCAGCGCTGCAGCGGGAGCACGATTCGGAACGAGCGGAAGCGCGGAAATGAGGCCAGCGCTGCAGCGGGAGCGCGATTCGGAACGAGCGAAATCCCGAAAATGAGGCCAGCGCTTCAGCGGGAGCAGCATTTGGGAAAACCCCAAGCGAAAACCCGTTACCCGGGAATCTTGTGCATAAAATGTCATACGCGGATGGGGGCCGGATATCTCCCGGACGTCATCAGGGGAGAGAGGAGAGTAGTATTCAGGTTCGATAATTGCATATCTGACATCCAATCCCTCCCCCCATCCCTTCTCATTACGCTGATTGTTACTCTATCCGCGGACGCGTGTCATAGCCGACCTGGAACTCCAAAAAAGACCCCATCGTCTCATGCGCAATCGGAAAGGGGAAGCTGCGTAATAGGAGGAGAAGGAGGAGGATGTGGCAGGTGAGCAGGAGGATGAGCAGGAGGACCAGAAGGAGGATGAAGAAGGAGAAGGAGAACGAACAGCAGCAGCAGGAACTGCAGTGGAAGGAGTGGGAGGAGCAAGAAGACCAGGGGAAGGCGGAAGCGGGGAAAAGGGGGTCGACGACGATGAAACAGGACTCGGACCCAGGGAAAGGCCCCCTTTGAGGACGATAGGAGGGAGGAACAACACAAACAGGGGTGAGGAATCTGCGGAGGAGGAGGAGGAGGAGGAGGAGGAGGAGGAAGGAGGACGGCAGAAGGAGGAAGGAGGAGGGAGGAGGAGGAAGAGGCGGAGGAGGATGAAACGGAGGCGGAAGGAGGAAAGAGGAGCAGGAGGAAGGAGGAAGGAGGAAGGGGGAGGAGGCGGAGGAGGAGGAAGAGGAGGCGAGAGGGAGTATCAGGAGGAAAGAGGAGGAGAACAAGTAGGAAGAAGGAAGGGGGAGGCGGAGGGGGGAGAAGGAAGAGGAGGCGGAAAGTGAGGAGGACGAGGGGAGAGGAGGAGGACGAGGAGGAGGAGGTTGAGGTTGAGGGCGCTCCGAGGACGCGCGCGTCGAGGCGCGCGCGACTCGGTTGCGGCTCCGAGGCCGCGGGGCCGCGGGCGAGGCGGCGGAGGGCCAGCGGCCTCAGAGCAGCACAGCGGCCCGCTCCGCCTCGGGCCCGCTGGCCACGGCGTCGGCCCGCGGCCGCTTGGCGAGCGGCGCTCCGTCGGCGGCTCCCTCCTCAGCGTGGCGGGGGCGGGCCAGGGCGGCAGCAGGGTGGCCCAGCCGCCTGCGCTTCCCAGCGCAGCTGCCTCCAGTGGCCCGAGGAGTCGACTCGACTCGGGCCTCGGCCTCGTCGTCCAGGGCGGAGCTGAGACGCTTGCCGCGGGCCGCGTCGAGCAGCCAGCGGACCTTCTCGTCGAACGCCTTCATCTTCTTGGCTGGGGCCCCTGCCAAAGGAGGGCCAGCTCGAGGGACACCATCGCCCCGACGTAGAGCGTCAGCACGAGCTTCATCAGGACGAGGAGAGAGGGAGCCCGACGCAGGCTCTCCACTCGTGGCGGTCTCCGCCGCTTCATCTCCGTGACTGCCGCAATTTATCACAGGCTGCGGCCAACTGTCAGAAGAGGTCGATGGACCCGAAGAGGCCGCTCCCAGCGGGACTGGCCTCCTCGGGTCTGCCGAGCTGCAGTCCAGCGCGAGGGTGTCGCCGACGTCGGAGGAGGCTGGAGCAGCACCCAGGGCCGCCAGCTCCCTCGGCACGGGCTGGGCCGCCTGCCCCGAGGCGGCTGCGGCACGAACAGCGGCAGCACGCGCGGCACGACGGCGGGCGGCCCGCCTCTTGGGGCCGAGCTGGATGCCCTCCTCGGCGCGGGCAAACCGGCGCCGCCCAGCGGCCTTCGGCCAAAGACCACGGGCGATCCGCTGGAGGTAGTCTCGCCCAGTCCTCGAGGGGGACAAAGGACAGCACGAGCGGAGACCTCGCCCCAGCAGGCGGCCAGCAGCCGCCGTGAAGAACCCGCACCTCAGGCAGAACCAAACGTCGAGACTCTGGTGCAGCCGCATCACATGCGAGGAGTGCGGGCGGCCGCCGCCGATGTGCACGTCGTCGTCGACCAGCTTGAGCGTGTGGGCCCCGTCGCGCTGCAAGCCAGGGCACCGCGCCTCCAGCCACTGCGAGCGGGCCGATCGCGACGATGAGCACCTGCACCTCGTGCAGCTGCCGTGGCTGTCCAGCACATGGGACGTGCTGAAGGCAGCGACCAGGCGAGCTGCAGGGGGAGCACGCCTCCGCCTCCTGGCTCTCCGCACTGGAGGGTCCAGGCCGTTCTCCGCTGCGATGGCGTCGAGGGTGGCTCGCAGCAGCCGCCTCCTGACCAGCATGGCCATGTGCTCCGTCTGGTGCACGCGAGCGCGATCAGGAGCTGCGACGCGAACTGCATCAGCCGCTGCACCAGCCAAGGCGTCGGCAACCACGTTGCCGACGACCAGCCAGGGGGGAATCCGCATCCTGAAAGCCTCGGCCATCTCCAGGTGCGAATAGACGTGCTCCACGACGAAGTCCGATCTGGGCCTGCTCCTGCTACTGAAGGTCTGCGCGAGGAGACTCCACAGGTCGCTGTCATCGCCGAGCGGATGCAGGTCGCGACGCCTCCACCAGCCCTCGCAGACGGCCAGGTTGTCCGAGATGTAAACCGTGGGGCCGAGGAAGCCTTGCGCGGCGAGCACGAGCGCCCGCAGCTCACCTCGATGGACGGTCTGCGTGCTGCCGCTGAGGCCGCCCCACGCTGCCTGCACGAGACCTCCGTCGCCCAGGTGAACTCGAGCGACTGCCGGGCCCACGCGACGGAGATGAGGGTCCTGCCCTTCTGGTCCTCCGCTGGCGTCGCCGAAGAGGACGAACGGGGCTTCCTCGGTGCCCTGCCCCAAGTCACCAGGGGCCAGAGCGACAGCCTGCTGGCCGTCCAAGAGCGCCCAGAGGTCGTGATCGCGAGGGGCGGCGACCTCAGTCCAGCTGCGTGGGATGATGCCGCGGAGCCAGAAGGCCGCGTGCGCCTCCTGGTCCGCGGCGGCACGGGGCAGGAGCTCGCTGCTGTCGTCGTAGGCCTTGCTGCCGACGTTGCAAGGACAACTCCAGTACCGATGGAAGGGAGTCTCCTCCTCGCCGCCGCATCGCGGGCAGCTGGCGCACTCCATGTCGCCGAAGGTGGCGAGCAGCTCTTCGAGCGCAGGCCCTCCAGGAAGACGCCTGAGCCGCTGCAGGTGGGCCTGGAGAGAACGCAGATCGGCGCCTGCCTCCAGGCCCGCGCCGCGCCAGTGCGTGGCGGCGCGCTGCCGCGCGTCCTCCTGGATGGAGTCGTCGAGCGCGCCGAGGACAGCCTTGCAGGGGCCGCCCGTGATGCTGGCCACGTCGGGGGAAGCCCACCGCTCGCGGGATCCGTCCTGCAGGACGCGCTCCCAGCCCAGCCGTGCTGCAGGAGGAGGGCCTGAAGTGCGGACACAGGGCCTCGCACCAGTCTCGACCTGCGCTCGAGCTCCGCCTCGCGAAGCCGACTGTGGATCGGGATCCAGGCCCGCGCCACTCGCCTCCTCAATTCCTGGCTGCTCCTCCAGACCTTGAACCAGCACTTGACCAGGGCGCGAGGCAGGCGCCTGGCAGGATCGAGGGGGCCCGCGCGAAGGGCCAACTGCGTGGTGAGGCAGCGCCCTCGCCTAGCAGCTCCAGAGACAGATGCAAGCCTTCGGCGGAGCTCCGCAAGCCTGCTGCCGAAGACGCCGAAGATCTCGTGCCTGTAGGTTGCAGCCGCTTGCAGCCCGACCTTCTCGACGAACCCGCACTTCTGATACTGCCGTGAAGCGCGGGCCATGCCTCGCAGACGGCCATTCGCGAAGCGTGTCTTGCCCATGCGCTTGATGACCGTGCGGCGAGCTGGGCGGCGGCCCGCTGCAAGGTCGACGCCGAGGCAGGCGCCGTGGCTCGCCGCCTGGACGGCGAGGCCGTGCTGCTTGACGACCTGGGCAATGCGCCGTGCGTCCTCCAGCTGCGAGCAGACGACGACGCTCTTGGGGGGGATCTGCAAGCCAGCCTTCTGCATGCCCGAGCCGAAGTCGATGATGCCCTTCGAGACGGCGTCGACGACGGACTGGCGCGTGCCCACGGAGGACACCGAAAGGTCGTCAACCCAGATCCGCGAGGGCAGGAGCTGGGGCGTCCCTGTGGCCACCTGCTGCAGCGCGTGGTACGTCATGCATCGGCCGAAACGCGTGCCCGACCTGACGCCCTGCACCACCGACTGGGACGGGGCCACGAGGCGGGAGGCCATGCCGTCCTGCAAGAGCACCCTGCCCGCCATGCACTGCTGCAGCTCCAACGCCAGTACTGCGGGCGGAAGCCCGCATCGGAGCGCCGCCTGAGCGAGCCCCGTCCATGGCATGATGTCGTAGAACTTCTGGACGTCGATCAGGCCGTGGCCATACGCGACGCCCATGGCGGCGAAGGCCTCTTCGCTCACGGCGCGAGCGAAGGCCTCGCGGAGCGCCGGGTTGCCTGCGACGGCGGCGTCCCAGGCTGGGGCCGTGCGCCTCGCCCAGTCACGCATGCCCCCCTCGCGGATCATGCTCCAGCAGCGCGTGACCATGCTGAGGACCCCGATGACGCGCTCGCCGCCGCCCTTCTTCTCGAGGACGTGGCCCAGCACCGAGGGGAGCTGCTTGGGCCAGCAAGCAGCCCGCTCTGCGGGGGCGAAGAGGTCGGCCAGCTCCTGCAGCGCAGGGTCGGGCAGCCTCGCCAAGTCCCGCACCGTGAGCTGGTCCACGCCCTTCCAGTCTGGGGCCGCATGCGCTGGAGGGCGTTGCGGATGTCGGCCACCGTGATGCGATCCAGCTCCTCGTACTGCACCTGCTCGCGGAGGTCCTCGAACAAGTCTAGGACCTCCTCGCGCCTGACGGGATGGGGCGACCACAGCTTCTCCCAGGAGGCCGCCTTGTGGTCGAGGATCGCGCTGGGGTGCACCAGGATGCTGCTGCCCACCAGGACCTCAGATGCTGCCAAGTGCCGCTCCCGCAGGGAGCGGAAGACCAACGGCGCGGCCTCCTCCGTGATGATCCACTGCCGAAGCTGCCGCAGGGGAGTCGTGGACCGCCGACTGCCTGGCACGAGCTGATGCTGCAAGGGCCGCCTCCTCGAAGGCCGCCAAACTGCAGTCCGAGATGGCGTGCGCGCCACCCAGGCCCGCAACCAACGCCTTGCAACTCCACTGCTCGCCCCAGCCCCCACCTCCAGGAGGTGGCGCGGTCTCGCCGTCCTCTCCTGGAGGACGGCGCCCACTGAGGTGCACGAACGGAGGGGGACGAGCTGAAGCTTGCTGCTGAGACTGCCGCGGCGCAGGTCGCCGCTGCTGCTGCCGCTGGGGCCGAGCACTTCGGCGCGCGCCAGCTCGGCCAGCCAGGAAACAGCGACGGGCTTTGGCAGGTGCGCGATCGCGAAGCTCCCGTCCAGCCTCAGCAAGCAGTCGCCGATCATCAGTGGCCTGCTTGCTGTGGCGCCGAAGTTTGCCGACCCTGGAGTGCAGAGCTGCTGCCGCTCCCCGAATGGGCTCCAGCCTGGTCGTCGCGCTCGGCGTGCACTTGCACTCGATCAGCCGCGCCTCTGCACTGCGCGACATGCGCCCCACGGCGCTGCATCCGTGATGTTTGTAGATCGCCCTCTCCACGTGCTCGGCCCACTTCCCGTACTGGGTGCTGAGCTGGGACATCAGTGGGGAGGTACAGGGAGCTCCCCAAACAGGCCCAAAACCTTATGATCCCGATCACCTCTTCCAGCGATTGTTTTTTATCCGACATAAATCCTAAGCGTTGCGTGACATATGTTTTTATCCGACATAAAATCTGAGCGCTTCGCGCAATATAAGTTAATATAACATTGCGTGAGGGCGCGTGAGGGTTATGGGCCTATGGGCGCCCCAGGGCGCAACCTATGGCGCAACCAATAGGAGGACTCTTTATTATCGGGATTTCTGAGGCAATGCACCGTTGCATCCTTTGGCATTCTCTGCACAATGCATCTTACGATTGATTTCGAATGCTCTCGCCTTCCTTTCCCGAACCTCCACCTTCCTACACCCAGAGCCGTTCTGGCTCAACGTGTTCGGGCCGCGGGTGTTCAGCTCCTCGCACGTCCTTGCACTTCTGTATGATGGATTCCATATGTCGGACGTGGAGCATTCAATCGTGTTGCATCTGATATCTAAGTGCTCTCTCACATCAAACGGAACATGTCATTTCAAAACAAGGGACGACTTGGTTTCATGCTTATTCAATGTTTTGAACACACTCGGTGCTCAACAGTTCAGAAACGTGGGCCAGCTCAAAAAGAAATGTCCTCACCCGCGTACGATGGATGCAGTTGCAATTTGGCATGGAGTGAATTATTTTGGAAAGAGTGAGAGCTTGCCGTTGCCAAAATGCATGGACCTCATTGAAGTGGCTCGGGAAAAAATGGTTGCATCGGCGAAGGCAATGGCAGTAGTGGCAAAGCCAGAAGCAAAGGCCAAGCTTCCCACCAGTAAAAAAAGAAAGCTGCGCTTGAGTACAGATGCGCGAGTGGTTTCAAAGTCAAACGTCACCAAGGCTCAACGAAAAGAAATAGAGAAGAAGCTTTTGAGAAAAGAATTGAACAAAGTTAAAAAGAAGTTGGTCAGGGCGGAAATTGCCGCCAGCGTGGCTCGCAGCACAGCGATATGCATTAAGAAAAAAGGAGCAACGTGCACGTCCAAGGTTCCAGCGAAAGCAGGCTATGCAATCGCGCTGTCTCGGAATTTATCACACATCGGTACGTTGGGCCTCACTCGCACCATGGATTTAGATATATCCAGACAATCGGTGGAACGATGGGAATTCATAGCAGCAGCAAACATTTGGCTTGAATCACAGCGTTTCTTTCGACGGCGCCTGCTGTATACTCGCGGGGCTGCAGGAGAATCGGACATCCAGTCGTGGGCCATATTTGCAATCAGAGGGGACGCTGCAAATTCAACTGTGGGCAAACAAAATGCAGATTACAAAGTACACGTCTGTGCAGTCGATGCGTGTTTCAGGGATGTTGCAGGAGCCAGGTCAGATCGTCGCGTCGTCACTCCATGCCTTAACGAACCCGTACTGAACTGCACAGGTGGCAAAGTCAAGGCTTTGTACATCAAACACATACAGGCAGTGGGCGTGCCAGCGTGGAACTCCGACTTCGGCGACTTGGGCTCCCACCTGATGTGGTATATTTTCTCGAGCGATCAGGGTGGCGACGAGAAAAGTGCGGCCAATCTTATTGCTGAGGAAGTCGCTGGACAAAAAATGTATGAAACACTCGCGTATTCTGCTTGGACCACATCGACGCCCTGATCACTGGGGTGAATGTACAGCGGTACGACGTTTACTGGAGTTTACTTGCTACTATCACGAACACGATTCGCTCAACTGGAAACGGTCTCCGCTTCAAGCACGCCTGGAGAGACTTCGGGCCAGACAGCGGCGTGCAAGCACTCGTTCGGCGCCTGCCGCCGCGCCCTTTGAAAGGCAGATGGTCTTCTATCTTTGCGTGCGAAGAATGGTTTCACGAAGCTCGGCTGTGGCGCGAACTGCCCGTGGTGGTGAAGAAGGCGCTGGTTGAGTTTGACACCCATGTGAAACGGGTGCGCAAGCTGCTCGGCAAGACGAAAAAACAGAAGGCGAATGCAGACTTGGTGGAATTGGCGTCGACATTCGAAGAGGATGCGAAACACTTCCAGGAGCGCAAGGGCAAGTTCCAGAAGGCGACCATCGCTGGCTTGCAATCAATGAAGTTTTGGTCATCATACGTCGTCTCGCACGCGTCCAGATGGGGCGCCGAACATTTTTCCAGATGGCTCAGGAAAAAGCAGGAAGGAGGTTCGCAATCGGGGATGCTCGTCGAACTCATTGGGTTCAAGGGCAAGCAGATCTACGAGGGCATCGCGCGCTTGCTCGACGAGGAGTCGTTCGTCGAGGCAGCGGGCGCGGGCGGCGCGGGGCTGGCGACGGGGCAGGCAGACGGCACGCATGGGGTGAGTCGTTCGCGAGCTGGGGGCAAGGATGATGGGTTAACAGAGGGATGCAGGCAACGAGGATGGCGATGATCGCTGGGGGAAAGGGGCCGAACGACTTACCTCAGATGCCGTCTGCCCGTCCTGCAGCCCCTGGCCGCCCTTGCGCACAGAGGTGTGGCTGACCCCGCTGGAGGAGGTCCTGAGTGCACCGAACCTCAATGATGACGGCGCGGGCTCGCTGGAAGAGCTCTTTTGCGAGGCGGTCTCTTCGGCGCTGGAGCAGCACGCCGAGTTCTATCGGCGCGTCGTGCAGCCATACTGCCAGCAGTACCCTTTCCGACTGTTTTACATGGTTGTTTCGCCTGCCGACGCCAGGTGCGAGCGGAGGGGGCGCATCGCCCATGAGCTGCTCACGGACGCTGGGATCGTCGACGACACGACCATGAAGTTCAGGGCGGCGTTCGAGGCGGAATTGAAGCAGGCATCAGCTGACGGGACTCTCTGCAGTCGCTGCTGGACGCTGCTTGCCGACGCCGCGTCCATCCTGAAGATGTCCGTCCGCGACATCGAGGGGTGCAATTCGATACTTAAGTGGATGGGCAAAGTGGCGCCCAGCATCAAGCTAAAACTCATGTCGAGCAGGCTTACACTCAAGAAAACGTTGGGCATCATTGGCGGGGACCAATCCTCCAGGACTGCTCGGCGAGATGCAAAGGAGAGGCGCGATCAGCTGATCGAGGATATGGCGGAGGGCCACGTCGCCACCATGGCATTCTGCAAATCCTTGGAGGACAGGCTCAAGGGCGCGGCCAGCGGCTCCGTCGACGCCGACAGCTACGACGCCATACCGCTGGCGCTGGCAGCGTTTCACTCCAACGCCGTCGAGGCCGAGGCCCTCGCCGTCGAGGATGGCCCAGTGGGCGGCCAGTCTGACGACGACGCTCTCGCTATCATGGATATGGATTCGGACGCGGAGTTCGTGGCTGCTGATTGCGGCGGGCACCGAGATGATCCACGTGGCGGGGCTGCTGCTGGGGCTGGAGGATCCAACTCAGATCGCGGCGGGGAGGACGACTGGGGCGACGACGACGGCCTCGAGCTCCAACTGCACGGCGGCGACATGATGGACCATGCGCCTGATCCGCGTTTTCCCCAGAACATTCTCGACCGATGCGCGGCGATATTGCTGAGCATGCGGAAGTCATTCGAGTCTACCGTCGGTGCGAGCTTTGGCCCATCGTCTGCCTACGCAGTGATTGTGAAGCACAAGTTTGGCGATGAGGGCGAAGACGTCGAAGAGTGGTTTCTCGTCAGCAGCAAGGTCGGGAGAGCGACCTTTTGGATCGCACCGCTGTGCCAGAACTTTGATGCTGTCAGCCCTGGCGGGCTGGGCGTCGTCAGGTTGCAGAGGCCGATTGCGCATCGCAAATTCCACTGGGTAGTTGGGCATCTGATCCAGCAGGCAGGGTCCCGCGGCCTCGAGGTCCACTTGAGCTTCCAGGCGGCGCAGCTCAAGTGGGACAACACGTTCCAGGCATCAGTCGTGGATGGTTTCCAGCTGCAATGCGCCAAGGCACGTAAAAGGTTGAAAAAGGTAGATGAAGAGGCGGTCGCCATGGCCATAGCCTGGGCCAACGGCGACGACGCGGCCGATGGGGACAATGGCGACGAGGAGGACGACGACAGCGAGGACGGCGATGAGGCGACCGAGGTCGTCGAGGTCACGAAGTATCTCGTCTCCCTGGACCCTGGCGAGAGGGAGGACTTGGAGGCTGGATGCGGTGGCCACGACACTAGCATCGAGGAAGTCGTCGAGGCAGCGAAGGTGCGCATGGAGATGGGGGGAGACGAAGCCGAGGGCGATGCCGTCTATGATCGACCTCGACCGCCTCGTCCTCGCGCGGCGGCCAGCTGCGACGACTACGGCGGAGATCGAGATGATCGAGATCGAGATGAGCTGCTCCGTGTCAATCGAGCCAAGGCGTCCGCCAGGGACAGCTACAACGGGCTCAAGAGCCTTCTGGGGTCTTTGATGTCTGGCGGTCACGTCGTGCCTGAACCAACGAACAAGTGCGTGTCCCTCTTCTCCGTGGCCAGCGTGGTAGCAGGGGCGCTTGCGACCTCGCTGGACTGGTGGTACTGGGAGGACGTCGACCTCGGAGAGGGGCGATGGAACCCTGGGGGTTCGGAGTAATGATGATCCAAGATGACCGCTCTTGGGGCCCTCTTGGGGCCCCCTTGGGGCCCTCTTGGAGCCGATGGGGACCAGGCTGCAAGGGCCCACCGCCTCTGTCACGCCGTCGCCGTCGCCGCCGCCGCCGCTGGCCGACGACGCCGGCGACGACGACGACGACGACGACGACACCTCCCACACGCTTGGAGCAACTTGAAAAACATGGAATTCCTGACTTTCTGTTTTTCAAGTGGCAACGGCGGCGGCGACGACGACGCCGACGACGACGGCAACGGCCACGCACGGACGCCCGACGACGACGGCAACGGTCCCGAGTCGGCTCCAGAGGCCCCCAAGAGGGCTCCAACCCAGGGTTGTGGGCCCTCAGCAGGGGCTCTAAGAGGGCTCTGGGATAATCCCAAGAGGGCTCCAGGAGGGCAGAAAGATTGTCCAGGAGGGGCCATGGGAAATGATTTTGGGTTTGTTCACCCTCCCCAGAACACTTTGGGCCCTCCCCTCGTGAAAATTATGTCGGCCACAAGATGGCCCAAGAGGGCCCCGAGGTAGGATTCGTTGTGCTCCCCAGAGGATTCGGGTCGACTCTGGCATGCGCGTGGTCTACAAGCACCGCCCGCCGAGACCCGAAGATCGCCGACTGCCGCCAGGCGATCGTTGCTCCCCCGTGTTCCACACAACTGTCAGGATGGTCAAGCCGAGAGATATGAGGGAGAGGATGCCAGAACAGGTGGTCTCAGCCTTCAGATTCATCAGGAAGGCTCGGGGAGTGGTGGATAGTGATCTCTTTTTCGGCGCAGCTTTGTGCAACGTGTGTCATGAACGGGTCAAGGCAGACGACTCTGCGTGCGCGGCATGTGGCCTGATCGCCCACTCGGGGTGCTTGGACGAAGTGTGTGCGCGCGCACGGCGCTTGAAATTAGATGTGCCAGCGCATTTGGCCAGGCTCCTAGTTGGACATATTTGCAGGTGTTGCGCAGCGTCATTCGTGCTGGAGTGATCGCATTGGCGTGCTGAAAGATTGATGTCGAGAGCGTCACTCGAGCTCCCTGGTAATGAGGAGGAGGAGATGCAGGAGCAGGACCAGGGCCAGAGCCAGGAGCAGGAGTAGGAGGAAGCCCCCAGGAGGACCCAAGAGGCCACTAGAAGCCTCAAGAGGCCCCCACCAGAGGGCTTCAGGAGGCTCCTCAGAGGCTCCCAAGAGGCACCCAAGCAGCCCCAGGAGGCAGCCGAATGATCCCCCGAGCACGCAAGCAAGCGCCAGCGATGCTACAATATGGGCAGGCGGAATGAGCGAAGCGATTGAATATTCACATAGTTGCTATGCTGTGTTTGGAGAGCTCGCCACAGACGATAAACCAAATCACACATATGCTATGCTGTGTTTGGAGAGCTCGCCACAGACGATAAACTAGTCACACACATGCTATGCTGTGTTTAGAGAGCTCGCCACAGACGATAAAATATTCACACACATGTTATGCTGTGTTTGGAGAGCTCGCCACAGGCGATAACATATTCACACATATGCTATGCTGTGTTTAGAGAGCTCGCCACAGGCGATAAAATATTCACACATATGCTATGCTGTGTTTAGAGAGCTCGCCACAGACGATAAAATATTCACACATATGTTATGCTGTGTTTAGAAGGCTCGCCACAGCCGATAGAATATTCACACATCTGCTATGCTGTGTTTAGAGAGCTCGCCACAGACGATAAAGTATTCACACACATGCTATGCTGTGTTTGGAGAGCTCGCCACAGGCGATAGAAATATCAGACGCATCACACCGTGGGCGGGCACATCTAAGGCAGTATTAGGTGCATCTTGGGCCGTCTTGGAGGCATCTTGGGGCCATCTTGGAGGCCATCTTGGCCGTCCTGGTGGCATCTTGGAGGCCATCTTGGCAGTCTTGGAGGCCCTCATCTTGGGCGTCTTGGAGGCCTCTTGGCTGAAAACCACGTGTTCTCACACATGCGAAGCATGTCTCGTCCGTCGCGCCACGATTTCGGCAGGGCGAAAAAAGTCTTGGAGCCCTCTCGGGGCCGTCTTGGGGGCCTCTGCGGGGCATTTGAAATCAAATATTTGAGGCTTCGGCAGCCCTTGCGGGACCTTCAAACTTGGATTTCGAGGTCCTCGAGGGGCCTGGCCGTGGTCCCAGGGCCGGTATTGTGATGCCCGCGGGCACCGAAACAACTTCAAAACAACGTTGCACCCATGGAGCGTCGTAGCATTTGTTTGCTCAAGTTCGTTCATCTGGCGCCTTTTCGCACTGGGAACCGTTCTGATTCATCGCGTCACCATTCGAGGCATGGCGAGTTCTGCCGATGCGGAGGCTCACGTTGACATCAAAACCATGTACCCAGGCCTCACAGGGCGCTCCTTACAGGACAAAATATGGGATGAGTGGGTGATCAACAAAGAATGCGTGGTGACCAGACCCTACTTCGACTCTCGTTATCCTGGCCAGAAGATATTCGAGCGCCACGAGCTCAACGACAGATACGAGGAAGATACTTACCAAGACTACAAGGAGGGAATCATCAAGGACGGCGTGCTGCGTGGCGTTCGTAGCGAAACCTGGGTGGTTGCATCGAATCCATCCGCTCAGTTCCCTGAACGCTTGTGGGTCGTGAGCGGTGCCACCCTCAAAGAGGCTGCGTACGGAGCCTTCGAGGATTCTCCAGACGTTGAGAACGTCAAGCGCACCATCGAGGGCCAGGTGCGCGATGTCACGATCTTCAGGCACGACACGCCGAGCATTGTGATTTTGTACTTGGTGGACTTAGGGAACCAGCTGGTGGGGAAAGGGTCCATCGTCAGCCACATCCAAAAATATCGGAAGACCGACGAGTACAAGAAGAGCTGGGAGTGCTACCGCAAAAAGCACGGAATAGTGTCGAGAGATGTTGATGGCAGCCAGAAGGGCTATTATCAGAAACGCAAGGAATGGCTGAATTCGAGACCGACGCCTTTCTTCAAAAAGCTCCTGCCGTTCGACAAAGCATGCGACTTCTTCGGTGATGCAAAAGGCGAGGTGTGGGATCGCTACTTGAAGTTCTGCCAGCGCTCCTGCAAGTTCCTGGCGATCAAGGAGACTTCTCACGACTCGATTTTCGTGCTCAACGATTTCACGCTTCGGCAGCTGGGGCGCGGGTCGCCAGGGCGCACGTCGGCGATCCTGTCCACGCTTAAGTTCATTGTGCCGAACTCCGACGTCTCCATCTACATTGGTGATGGCACGCAGTCGAGTGGCATGGAAAAGATCAAGCGCCTGTTGGAGCCTACCGAGCAGGACTTCAACTCGCTCAAGGAGCTGAGGGGGACTCCTGAGGCGGCGGCTGGCAATGGAAGTAAGGCACCTCTCGTGGACTACGCCGCAGACGCGCTGAGGCGCTCGTGCAAGGTCAGAGACACGACGCCGACTGCAGAACAGCTGGAGGCGATGTGGGACCGCATTGTCCAGCTCGGCATCGACGGCAAGGTTTGTCTGGTGAAGACGCCCGACCATTTCCTCCAGCTCTACCGCGGCGCCGTCGAGGCGAGGCCAGGGAAAACGAAGAAATTGAAGGGGAAGGGCACTGAGCAGCAGTACGAGGTAAACGCCGAAGTCCTCGAGGTTGACTTGGAAGATGCTACTGGCGCAGGCGTTAGCGTCCGAGTGTTCAAGAAGATCGGCCCGTTGGTGTCCTACATGGTCGGCTGCGCCGCGAAGGCCAACAAGACAGGCAGAGGCCGCGCTGGCAGGGGCAAGAGCAAGACGGGCCACGACGATGATGGTGATGATGATTCACCTGCAGTGGCAGCTGACGAATTGCCGTGGCAGCGGACTCTGCGCGAGAACCCAGAGTTCGTGAACCAGGTCATTGACTTTACGAAGAAGAATCCGTTCACGTACTCCTCCCATGCGGCGGAAATGAAGTTGACTCCTAGGACGAATGCAGTGGTGAAGGATGCGGTGACTTGCCTCTGGAATCTGCAGGAGGATCTTGGTCTGCAGTGGACGTCCGAGTGCAATGGCGTTGCTGAGGCGTTGCGATTGGTCGTCAAGTCTGTGTTGGCACAAGTGAATTTCGGCTACCCGTCGGACACGATGTGCTTTGCGAGCGCCATCGCGGATGCGGACTCCAAGTTCTGGTCGCCTCCTGAGTCTGCCGATGATGCGCCGCTGGCTACACTGAAGACGATTTGGGACACTCCTTCCAAAGTCAAGCAGTTCATGGACCACAGGGCCACGCAGATCGCGTGCGTCCTCATGGAGGTGTCGGACATTCTCAAGACGGAAGGCAAGAGCGCATCTGGTCACGACGCCGCTGTCGCTGAGAAACTGGACGGCTTGCTGAAGTACGTCAGTAGGCACTCGTCCGTGCTTGCAGCCCTGGCTCAGTCCGACTCGAAGTTCCTGGCGTGCGACGAGGCCGAGATGGATGCTTGGATTCTGCACTGGGCTGGCACGATCGCCAGTTTCTCGAATCCTGAGTTCGAGAAAGGGCTGGCGCCCAAGGACGCTGGCTTGCTCAGGATGCAGGCCAACCTTCTCAGCATTACTGACCTCAGAGCAAAGCTTGGCAAGAAGCTGAGAAACACGAAGGGCGAGGGCGCCTCTGACAAGCCCCAGTTGATCAAGGAGTTCGTCCAGCTGGAGCAGGACAGGTCACCGTCGCCGCAACGAGTATTCGACCTCCTGAAGTCTGTCGCCCAACAGGACTGTTCCACCAAGGCGCTGGTGGCCAAGATCCAGAGCATGAAGGAGTACCCCAACCACGTCCACCTGGCGTCTCCCAACTTCGTCGGTCACATCTTGTCTACGGCCGTTGAGTCGGCATGCTACTCCGAGATCGCCGAGGGCGCCCTATCGTCAGCGGGTGTCCTTCTGAAGCAGAAGGAGGTCAAAAGCGGCAAGGTTTTCATCGACTTCGAGGCCAACCAGGGCAACGTCCGACTTGCTTTCCCAGGACTGGGGGTCGGGTCAGGTCCGAAACATTTTTGACAGCAGGGGGGC